AAAATCCCGGGGCAGCTTGGGTGATGATCATTGTGGATAGCGTGTATGGGGAAGATGAAATGGTTGCAGATTTAGTTTTTCGAATGGTGGTGCAGATGATGATGAATAATGTGTACTACGGATGTACCTGTGCCTCCCTTTGAGTTTATTTTGATTTCTTTTCTTTTTTCTTAATTTTTTCTGTTTATCATTCAATGCCTGGACACTTTTGGTAGCTCTATTAGGTCTAATTTTTCAGATCAATTCTCTGTCTGAGGTTTAGAAGGTTTGACATGTTCATGGTTCATCGGATCTTGGTCCCAGGGAAAAGCCGATGAATGAACCACACATACATACGTTCTCTGTTTTGGCCGGCGGAAGAGTCGCGACCCAACCGCCCCTGCACGCGGGAGAGCTTCTCCCGTGAGTAGATAATGACTTGGGCAACTGGAAGGACTTCTTGACCCAGTTTTGCGGGGAGTTGATTGTGTGTCCTCACGTTTCAGGATGGAGTATCTACGCAGTATTAGGACAGGAGGCGGGGAAGGGGAATGGGGAGATGAACGTATGATGTAGCACAGCTCGAATGACACGAATGCCCGGCCTCGAGGGAGATTGACGTTTCGACCAGCGACCCCGTGGCTGGCATGGCATGCTTACTTACTCCATCCTACGAGGTGACTAAGGAACATGCCAGCCGACATGTTTGGCGGTGAGGGCGAAGAAAACGCTGCAGCCGCTTGACCGCCTCGTCGAGTGTGTCTGTAAGGTTTGTCCTTGCAGGAGGTGGTTGCGTGTCTCAACTGCCTGTATGCACTTCATCAAAGACTTCAACTATGAATTGGTCAAGGGTCGGGGGGGGCGGCGGCATCGTCCACGGGTCCTCAAGGATAATGGTTCTACCCCATCCGGCCGAACTCGATTGGCCTCAGGTCATGCCCCGGCGAGGATCACGCGATCGATCCTCGCAAAGGTCCCCAACATCCCTTCCGAGGACCGGTTGTTGTTGGTCAACCCAACGAAGTACCAGTACTCTCTCATCAACACTACTGCTTGCTGCTAGTTCCTACGACTTGGACTCGTGACGCTCCTGAGGGAAAAGATTTATAACAGGTGTTCTTTGACCTTCGATTGAGTTGAGTTCTGGATTGACCTGCGGGGATATCTTCCGTTCTTTCCATCCGTCTCGTTCGTTCTACAATGAGCTCACTGTGTAATCTGGCCACCTCATCATCACAAATCGGTGGCAGATGTGGATGATTACCCTTTCATGGATTAAGGGTTAAACTCCCCTAATTGGCGTGAATGAGCTGCTTAGATTTGGACGGAATCTCGTAGACTAGTGTAACAACGATTCCCATGGTGATAGCAGCATTGGACCCAACAACAATGTTGAGATAGGAACCTAATCGGTTGCTATCAGTTCCAACTCTAATAACTGGAGATGGACTCTCTTCATTCTTTTGGGGTGGAGGACTCTTATCGCCGGTTATGACGGTAGATAGATAGTAGGTAGTGATAAGCAACGCTTTGATGATATCAGAGACGGGGCATGTATGGATAACGTTCCCTATCTCAGTTGATTAATCCCAGCAATCATCTAATCTGAAGAGGAGGGGGGGGTGGGAAATGATAGAGAACCCACCAACCAGGTGAGATCACCAGCCATTGCCAGGCTGGCAACATCAACAAAGTACATCCATCAGATATAACATTCAGGGATCAACCAACTAATGTTGGTCCATCCGTGACACTCGTTACCTCTTTGAGTCGAAGAAGTATCACTACTTTATTTACCCCGCACGATCTTCCCGGAGGCTTGGTTATGTTCACAATTCCTCCGACAAGACGAAAGGCGCGTCTGGAAACCTCCCTGGTTTGAGACTTCAATAACTCCAGTTAGTTGACTTGAGACTCGTTTCCCCGACGCATCGGCTCTGGGTAAAATTACCGAGTTTACCGATAGTTACCGTACGTGGCTGAGGTAATGGAGCTCCACTTTGAGTTCCCCAGATTTTACGGGGCACATGACCAACTTCCATGAGGAAGTCAATTTGTAGTCTGATTATTTGGTCTGTGATCCCTCAATCGCATGGTCTTTGTCTTTCCCTATACGTGGGGTGGGACTAGTACTACTACTACTAGTGACCATGGACCCCGGTACAAGAGGGAGTGTTCGCCATCTCGATTCCCCCGTACGCCTTCGTCGATAGGGGGGACACCCCCTACAAATCCCTAATCGGAAACCTGTTCCACCCTGGCATCTCTTTTGAGACACTTTCATCAACAACTGCGAGAATTACGAATCTCTCTTACCCCTCATGAGCAAAAAACTGCCAAAATTTCATGCAACAAAAACTATAAAACCGCCCATCTGTCTGTGACTCTGTGGCGCTTACAAAAGATCCCCACAGAAGATGTGCGTCTACACGGCACATCGGTACAGATCATCTACCGCGCATATCATATGTAAGTGGTCTTTTGCCCCCTTACCGGCCACCTCTGCATGTACCCTGTATTATGTATGTACACCGGGGTTTGAGGGGGAGATCGTAGAATTATTCAAAGAGCAGTTTGCCACCCCCGACTATCGAGACTAGTGTACTAGTACCATTCTAGATTATATATTTGTCGGGGTAATTGAGTTTGTAGACATATCTCTTGCCAGAGGGAAATGCCTCAACCATGGTCACGAGACCACCTATCAAGTTGTCGCCATCTTCTAGAATCACCATTAGATCACCATTATGAAACATGCTCAAAGTCCAGACAAAGGGGGGGGAGGATGAGGGGGGTCCTTGTCGCGTTTGACTCGATCCCAATTGCACCGATCTTGATTCCCAGCGATACGCCCAACCCCCCCCCCTGCATAGAATCGCTTGATTCCATCATCGATGGGGCCTCCAATGACCTACCCCACTACCGTGCGCCTACCTCACTGTCTGCCTTCAAACCGTTTTGCCGCATCCTGCTGTCGTTAGCCTCTCTCTCCTTTCCATGTCTTAGAATCTCTAGTGGGCTGTGCATTAGCGCCTGGCTTGCACAGTACACAGTGCACTGTATGTACATCCCATCACCAGAATGTAATGCACATACCAAGGAATATCCCCCGAACTGCCTGTTTCCAGCGACATGCAGCCCTGGAGCTAAGGCAGCCTTTTACCGCTGGGTGTGCGTCCCACTGGCTATGGTGTTTGCTTGTGTGTTGCTGACGCTGCATACGCGGTGGGGACCTGATCCCCAGCTAGAACCTTTTAGTGCATCCCTTTGAGAAGTCTGCATAACGGGAACGTTAAGCGCCCTGTTCATTGAGATTCTGGGATTTCCTTTTTCTCGCTGTCTTTCTATTTTTAATCGGGTTGTGCGTTGGGGATTGTAGAATGTAGAAGTACATATGCAGCGTCAGCAGAATTCCCAACTCGATTTGATACCAACGTTGTCTGTAGAACTAGTCTGGTACTACGGGTAAAATATATCCAACATGTACGTTTTTTTCCCATGCTGCATGATCGGTTGGTTGATTACAGTACCACGCCAATTGAAAGATACTCGGTACCGATATGCTGCTACGTGTCCTTCCCGGAGCAATGTGTGGTGCTCTGAGGAGGGCTCGTTGGGGAAAGTGATTCGTCTCATTTTGAATGTAGTTCGGAGGGGTAAATCTCCAGAGTCTGCGTCTGCGGCTTGCATAGACCTGTAGGCTGTAGGGCTTTACTACTCGAGGGAAACGGGAGAATGTATATCGACTTCTTGTATATATCGTATGTAGCACAGTTTCAACTACTATCACGGCGATGCCAAATAGTCTAGAAGTTATCCATGGTATCCTTGAAGATATATTTCTTGTCGCAGGGTTTCCTTGTATACACACGTTCGCACACAAAGCGACAATAGTTCCATTCTCACCTACACACATCTGGAAGAGAGTAAATGCTACTTTTGACTACTGTTCTCAACTGACGGAAACAATTAAAGAAAAGAAGGAAACGACAAACGTAGAGTGAAGCCGTCAAGCCCAACGATGGAAGCTAGTCAGTTGATGCCTCCATCTGTTGATGATGGAAGCGCTAACTATGAGCATTGAATTGTACCATGTCCTATTCTAATCCTCTTCATAGCAGTGAACAGAAGAAGGATCTTGGGCCCTTGCACTTTCTAGGGAACCCATCCAGGGAGGAACATAGCACGCACAAAGCGTATTGACTAGATAATGAAGAAAGGATTAGAGCAAGCAGGAGAAAAGATATCTGCTGGGTTTCCGTATGCGGTTTCCTCCATCCAACTTCGAGCTGAGATCGAACATGCTAACAATATATACTAACTAGTGCGTATGATCGAGTGCACTATTATTGTCGAAGAAGATCTTATTTCACCTGGATAAGACACTTCATACAGGTGCTTCACTGAGAACACCAGTTCAAGGCAGCGTAGATGACATTGATATATCGTGGGGTGTATGATAGAGTGCAAGCCTAGGCGATTTCTTTGGTAAATGATAAACACCCTTCTGTTTATCCGTGGCTTCATTCAATCGCATCGTCCCCAGCGTTGTCTGGACGCTCACTCAGTTGGGAGGTTGGAGACCATGTGGGTATAAATACCCTAACTGTCTATATTAAACCTCAACTTCTATTTTTATCTGACAGTTCGAAGACCGTCCCACGCAGATACCTCGGGAGATCACAAAAGTAACGCAAATGCCTAAAACCGGTGAGTCCCTAGTATTCACTAACGTTATACTTCCGGATAGTTCCTGAAAGCGGGATTTTATCAAACGTGCCAAAGCCAATTCATACCCATCAATTCATACCCCCTCCTAACCCTCTATTTAACATACATGGGAAGCATGCCTCTGGCTAGACTGATAGTCACTCCGCTGAAAAGTCCAAACGAAACGGCGTAACAGATGAGGGTATGTCCGCCTTAGCTGTTAAGCCCTGCTGGCTGTAGCACGGATAACTTAGATCAACAACCATTTACAAGAAGGAAGGCTTTCGAAATACCAAATTTATTTCAATTATCTACGACTGACTCCTTTTCGTCACCTCCTCCACCAGGTACTCATTCACCGGCGTCCTCACCCCAACCTCCCTCCCCCTCCTCACCCAATACCCATTAATGAACCTCACCTCCGTCTCACGTCCAGCCCTCAAATCCCACACCATCGAACACGTCGTCTCAGCAGTCTTAGTCAAAATCGCATTCACTGTCGCCTCCAATCTATCCACAGCAAACCGCTCCTTTACACCCGCAACACCCCTCAATTCCGGTAACGCAAGCACGACATCCGAGATCTCCGTGAGAATCTCCCTCCGTGTCTCGGGGATGGTGAAAAGGAAGCCATTCTTCGCATCATTCAAGGCACAGAGAGGGTTACAGAAGGCATTGACGGCCAATTTCTCGAGCTGGATCTGTAAGACTTCTGTGTAGGGGTATGATGTTGCGTTTAGCCGGGGCGAGAGGGGGAGATTATCGAGGAGGTATGAACATGAAGACTCCCGGGAATGGGGTGCTTCTTGGGAGCGAGGAACCAGCCCCAAGGACATCGCTGCGAAGCCAGTGTGCGTGACGTTGAACGGTCGGTTGAGCGTTACGCCGTGTGAGATGACTCCTATGATGTAGTTTGGTCGCGTCTCCGGGTTCGGGAACAATGCTTCGTTGACTTCGTCGATCATGCCGCTGCCGTTTTGGAGGAATAGGATGGTAGAGTTATCGTCTAGGCGGTGCTTGAGGGGCTGTAGCGCTGAAACGGTTTGTGTTGCTTTGACGCTGATGATGAGGTGGGTGATGTTGGTGCTTATGGCTTCTGAGGATGGTGATGGAGGCTCGGGATACCATCCCTTTTCCCGGTATACCTCCAGATCATAGCCGCTGTGCCCGATTTGGGATCCTTCGCGTGTTGTGAGTTGGATTTGGTTTCCGTTCTCCTGGAATCCGCCTAGTAGCGATTCGCGATGGAGGAGGAGTGTGACGGAAGGCCTGCTGGGGATTTCGGACAGACTATGGGCGGCAAAGGTGCCGATACTTCCAAGTCCGAGGACATGGACCCTTGGTGATGACTCTGAATGAGGCATAGAAAAGGATCGTGTCATTGAGAGGTTGATCTTTGAGACTCGACGTGATAAAGGCGATGTCATGAGCCCGTGCTTGATACGAAACAATCGCATCGAGAGTGGAATGATAGCGAACTCGATGTTTCAGACATTCCGTTCGGCAGACTAGCTGAATGCCGATTCAGGCGTATAATCTATATATACAATCATCAAAGCCCATAGGGTGTGCATAGGCTGTATAGGACTGTCTTCAAGAACTTCAAGTCGGGTCGGTTTCCCGAAGCAGAATGTGCCGGCCGCGCCCTACGCCCTACGCCTCTCGGAATAACAGCTTCGGCATCCATCTCTGCGCTTAGGAGAGAATTTATGTCAGATTGGAAGCCGTCCACTAATTCTCAGTGGTTTCATGGTAGAGGCGAAGTGGCACCTGTGCCAATCACGTTTTGAGTTGGCGTAAATTTTCTATCGCCGCCTTGCGCCTTACGCCTTGCCTTGCCTTGGACGCCCTTTTCATCTTCTGCTGTATCTTCCTAGTCACGGTTGACACACAAAAATGTGGTCCTACCAGCAGAGCTGGAGAGTTTTCGTCACTCAATGGCAACCCGGGAGATGAAGGATAGCGATTTAAGCATGTTGTTGGCTATGCCTTTTTGGACCCTCCCCAAAGTGTCACTAGTATACAGCATAGATTTTTTTTTTCATTGAGAGGGTTTGTTATGCGCAAGTATTTCTTAATTGGTTTCTGTGTTATAGATTCGCGATCACTATAAACCAGATTCTCGCCTCTTCCTACTGAGGATGTCTCTCAACGAGTTCCACCCCCGTCAGTTCCCCGGTTGACTAATGGCTAGCCTTCTCGCCCACCTAGCCTCAACAAACTTGACGCTTTGGAACTCCAAGTCGCCTGAACCGATGAAATCAAGTCAGTCCCTACAAACGATGATTCAGAATTAGCTACCCACAAGATATTCACGGGTAGCATGATTGGCGCGCGATGGTCTGCAGCATCAGGATGGGAAGCGATATCTATTCCATCCCCGCCATCTGAATTTCTCTACCTGGTTTTGAGCCCGAGAAACTGTTATATGTACTGGACGGACATATATGGTTGCCTTGGAATCATGCAGGTTCCTTGCTTTACATCCGGCCAACCCGTGTGAGTATGGATGGCATCTTAGGCCTTCAAGCTCCTCAAGGGGTTATTGTGTGTGTCATCATCTCGTACTGGCCATGCCTCAAGCCCTCCTCAAATCCAGCTATATCAGCCGGCCAAGGTCTCCGCTTACTTACAAGTGCCATTGACAGGTCCAGGACTGGCCAGACGGGTCAGGGTCTGCAAAGCCACTGAAAAACTATGAGTTCACAGCCCTCTCTAGCAACAAGCGAATACAGAGAGCTGCGGTCAATTTTTGTGGCTATTTGGGCCTGATGACCAGGTCACAGAAGCAGGATCGACAAATTTCTTTGGGATTTAGAGAACTGCAGAAGGAAAGTTACAGTTGGTCAATCCAGGCGTGACGGATACAACGGAAGGGTAAGAGGAAGAAGGGAGGACGACAACAGCAGGTAAGTACAGTGTATAGTTTGCACTTAACATAGCACAGTATTTTAGTGAAAGGCGAGCAAGTCAATTCATCGCCCCATACCAGTCTGAGGGATGTCTTCCAGGTGGTGATCTCCCGATTCTACCCCTCCAGACCTGGGCTCGATCTTGTTCCTCTCCGCACAGTGTAGATTTCGAAATGCGGAAAGCCATTCCGGGTTATCAGCGATAGTCTGATTCCATGAGTCCTCGGAATCGTAAAGTACTCGTCTGGCTTCCTGTTGAAACATATCGTCTGTAGGCATGACGCCCTGCGTTATTTTCTCTTGGGCATAGCGACTTAAATGTAGTGTAAGAACTTGTGTAAAGGAGCTGAGCTCCGACATGGAAATGTTTGGCTTAGCGGCTGCCTCTGCTTGGACATCTTCGACAACTTTGTCCGGATTCGCTTTCTGTTCTTCCGTAAGATAATGAGCGCGCGACGAGATCTGCGCAAAATGGTCCTGGACGTGTGTATTGGTTGCAGAAAATGGTATCAGACTCTGAGACTCCTCGGCTATCAGATAAGGGGGTAAAGAGTTCGTAACCTGGGCAGCAATGGAGGGTGGAAACCCGTGGTCACCTTTCCAGTCTTTCATTGTCGCATTTTTGCGGAAGTGTTCAGCCAAGTGGTCGACCCGTTGTTCCCAAGTATCCATACTGTGCTCACAGAAGCCGCAACGGGACGGGACAGCAGAATGTGAAATCTTCCAATCGTTGATGAGAGGCAAAGTGTCGATATTATGCATGAGGCGCAGGTGTTGCACTAGGTGATCTTTGCGACGAAAGGAGCGGGGCTTGCCAGAGTCACCATGGCATACATTATGGTTATGCCGATCGAGGTGTGCTGCACTAGGATCTAGTGCGTTACAAAACGCGCAGTGCTTTCTTCCTGTCACTCTTGAAAAGACGGTGGTCCCATGGGGAGCGCAATACCACGCCTCCAAATTCAGATGGAGTGATTTCTCATGCCGAGCCCAGTCATATCTGCTCCTAAATTTATCACAACAGAACGTACAACAAAATCGCCGAGGCTTATCGGTTTTTTCTCGTGCCCGCACGGTATTTTTGCCGGCCCGGCTTTTAGAGATACGGCTTAAAGGGTCGTCTGAAGGAGAGTGTGATAGGGCAGAGCCGAAAGACGCATTTGATGAGCCACTAGATTCGCCGCTTGTGGCGGACGGAGCTCGCCTATAATGGCGGAACGCATTGTGCCCTGTGTTTTGTGTAGCCGGGCGGCTGCTCTTCTGAGTCGATCGCTGGGTTGGTGTTTTTTTCAACGCGTCCAGAATAGCTGATATAGACGCCGGCTCATCCTCTGGTGGAGATTCACGCCATCTCTCCATGGGACCCATTGCATTCGCATTTGGAATAACAATCGGGCCGCTCTGTTGATCCTGCCGTCGGGTCAAATAGCGGCTCCTGCGCCGGGGGAGACCAGTACGAGCAGCGATGAGTATGTTGGGCTGTTCAGATATGCCTTGGCTGAAACCTGGCTTAGCACGCTCAGATTCCTGGGCACTGACGCCTGGCTCAGTCGCCGAAGTGCCGTCGGCCATGGTGTTTGACGAGACATCGGGAAGAGCACTGGATAGTTGTTGGAGGTCTGAGCCAGTAGATAGCCACGCAGTTCTGTCAATAAAGTCATCCTCAGATGACACTAGTTGATTTTCCCTGTCCAGACCATGATCTAGAACAGTGGGCAGTGATACTAAGTGTTGATCAAGTTGTTGATCGATCTCCAATGGATTGGCAGGACACAGCTCAGATGACGTGGGCATATACGAGAAAGAGAAGTCAAACAAGCTGGGATCCAAGGTCAAGCTGACTATAGAAAACAGTAAGTCAACGGCTCTTGTTTTCTGTTGGCAGATTTAGACTGACCGTCATCTCCCAAGTCACTCACCATGAGCGAGTTGACGTCCTCCTGCTCGCCTGGATGATGCCCGTGTGACATTATATTCCAGAGCCAGCCACGTCTGCTGGCAAGACCAACTACTACCTACTTACTTTGACTTGACGCATCAAGCTGGGTCAATGTAGCTCTTGAGTGAGTGGCGTCCATAAAACGCAGATACTCGGAACAGTCCCTCCATTCACCGCTTTCCTGTCGCAGAATCATTCCCACGTGAATCATGTCAGTCTCGCTGAAGAGATACCAGCACTTGCTCAACTATATTGCTATTCGCGATAGATGTATCTGTATAGAAGCATTGGGAATCTGACATTGTATTATCAATCATTGATTACTCATGATCGCATATTACATTCGCGAAAGAGCCGAAATCAGATGTTTTGTTATAGATTAGTAATTGTGCCAGTGGCTGACTTGGGGCTTGGGAGAATGGCCACTCAGAAATGGCTGGTAAAGGCTACTCTGTACTCTGTATATACACTCCTATTACATTGCAGTCGGCCCCCCATTAGGTTTTCTCTTTCTTCTTCTTCCTCTTCTTCTTCTTTTTTCCCCTTAAGGTCCTATTTTGTCTTCAAGAACTAGAGACTTGATGAAATCGACCATACCTTGGTCTGTATAAGCTATTAGCAAGACTTTTACTGGCCAATTCTCTATAATGCTAGACTAAGCTAATAGTATCATATAATAAAGCTTCCGTTGAGTGTGGTAACAAGAGCACTCTAGCCCAGCAGTCAAGATAGACTCACATAAACGACATAGTATGAGTTTAGTCCTATCTCAAATCTATGTACTCTTGATTTGTAGCCTTACAAGTACATAAACGATTTTCTACGTTTCAATGTCATAGCTTTTAATAATTACAGGTGACCGAGACATGGTTATCAAGCATCAGATATGGAGATAACTTATGGAGATAACTTATGGAGTACAGGTCATGGAAGGTCGACGCGAAGAATTCTTGTCCCAGGTTTGCTGATGCTTAGCACAATAAGCAACAAATCACGTAACTATCTCCTTTCCCTGAGCGATGATGGCGTGGATTAGTGTGAACGGCAATGCAGCACTAAGGTCCACATCGTGTCATTTCAGCGGGATTTCCCGGCCAACACTAGAACACCCAAATCCCATGGCGATAACCGATCTATCGCTTGGACCTGCCTGGACTCAGAAGACCGAAGAGGCATTTCAATATGGTATCTATCCTAATAGGCCTTCTCCTCTACTCACACACCCCACTATGACACGAACGTCGAACCTGGGGTAGATCATCATACTCGATGCGCTCCACTTATCACCGTTATCAGACTGTGGATAACAGATAATGAATAGTAGATGACCAGGCGTTTTGGTAATATCTCGATGAAGCCTATACTAATTATCCTAAGTATAAAGACCCAATGCTCTCAATGATAATGCAGTCACCAAGTCACAGCACTCAGTTCCTCCGCTTTGCGATCCTTCACAATGCTGTTCTCCCAAGACCGAGACCTTGACGTGCCAGGCACAGAGCTACTAGTTGACACCCAGCATAATTTGGATCTCGCTCACGATGGCTCGGATATCATCTTGTTGCCACATCCAACGGCCTGCGAGGGTGACCCGCTGAACTGGTCGAGATGGAAGAAATACTGGCATCTTCTCCTTATCTCGATCTATGCTTGCGTTTTCTCATTTGGTGAGAACAACACCGGCGACGCCTACACGACCATTGTAGAAATGACCGGATCAACGATGACCATCATGAACGGCGGCGGTGCCCTCAACTATTTATTACTAGGTCTGGTCAACATCTTCTGGATCCCCGCCGCCATGAAGATTGGCCGGCGATTCTGCTTCCTCGCGACATTGCTGCTCTGCATTGGCTCGTCGCTCTGGATGGGTGCCTTCCATACAGCAGGGGAATGGTTCGGTAGCAACATTCTCAACGGACTTGGGACCTCGGCCTACGAAGCAGCCATTCAGCTTGTTGTCTTTGATCTATTCTTCGACCACCAACGCGGCCGTATGCTAGGGGTTTACATTTTTGCTCAGCAGCTAGGTTCGATCATCGGGCTGGTGGCTGGTGGCTATATCTCTGATGGACCGGGCTGGCGCTGGGCACAATGGGTTGTGTCCATTGCTGAAGGCATTTTAATCGTCGCCTTCTTCTTCACTTTCGAGGAAACACTGTTTCCCCGGTTTCTCTTCACCTCCACCCCGACACTTCCCACAAACAAGGCTACAACACTAGCCCAGGCAGATGCTGCCACAGGGGATGGGACAGGGACCAGGAAGGAAAAAGAGCCAGCCATCGCAGATAATGTCAGTGTTGAAGAAGGTACAGCTACGAATACACCGGGACCTTCTCAATTCCCTAAGCGGACGTTTCGGGAGAAGCTCAGGCTGTGGGTTTACTATCCGCAAGATCATACGTCATATTGGATGTACTTTAAACGACCATTCTTCTTGTTGAGATTCCCCAACATCGTCATCGTATGTACCTGGTTCGATAGTGTGGCTTGGCGCACAGTTGGCTTTGAACACGGTTGCTAACAATACACTCCAGGCTGCTGTTATCTTTGCATTTGGCTGTACTTCGGGTATTGTCACCAACAACACCATCTCGGAAACGCTATCGGCTCCTCCATACAACTTCACTGATGGTCAGACGGGTCTCGTGTACATCTCCGCCCTAGTTGGTAGTGTCATCGGCTACCTCACAAGTGTTCTGGGTGACAAGATCGTGATCTACCTCGCCCGGCGAAACGACGGTATCAAAGAGCCCGAAATGCGCTTGTGGGCACTCGTCCCATGCTTCATCTATGCCGGACTGGGGTACGAGATATATGGCTGGGGAGCTGAGACAGGCTCACACCGGATCACAATTGCAGTGGGCATTGGAAGCATGATTGCGCAGCAAGTGGCTGCTACCTCTACTGTAAGTTCTGTGGTATTTCATCGCCCTATTATACCTAATAACCCGTGATGGCAGGCAACGGCGTACGCAATGGAGTGCTTCCCCGGTGTGGGTGGAGAAATTGTTGTCATTCTTGCTATATGCAGTTCCTTCATCAATTTTACCATCTCAGAGACGACGCAGCCGTTTCTAAATGCTGTGGGGATGGGGTATTTGTTCTTGTTCTACGGTATCTGCGTGGTGCTGTCGTTGGTGGCGGGCATGGCAGTGTATATTTGGGGAAAGAAGTGGAGGAGACGGTGTGCACCACGGTATTATGAGTTCCTGGCGCAGAGAGGGGGAAATATCTAAACAATTCCATGATACACGAGAATATAGTCGTATGGTGGTATCTTCTCCTAAAACAGAAACTAGAATTAAGATTAAACAAATACATAACTATCGAACTGGACCATGATATCCCCGTTGGTTATGGCGGCGATTGGCTTTTCTATTAGTATTGGCGCCGCAATTTCCATTTCCGTGTCGCAAAATATTTTCACACACCTCCCTCGAGAGGGCCTGTCCAGTGCCCCTGGTCTAGACGTTGACGGCGTCATAGAGCAGGGGGCGAGGGGCTTTCTGAAGAATGTACCTGCATCCGAGAAGGAACGGGTGATTGGGATCTAATCTTTTTTCGAAAACCCGCCTTAAAATAACGATAAGCATTGATAACATCACATGACCCGCCGGTGATTGGCCCGCCGGAGTTCGGCGCCTCCACTCCGGCAGAAATTCCCAATGAATCAGTCAATCATGGGAAAAGATCGGGATATCAGATTCATCTCTGGCCTCGAAATTATGATCTGGCTTCCGGGGTTCATGCCGTAATCCTCGATTGAGGCTATTCCTCCTGCCCAATCATGCACAATGAGCAAGCGCTCATACCAAGAGTCATTCTCTCCCGGTGGCTCGCAGCCGCCGGAGCATATCGATAACAGTCATAATGGTTTATTACCTATCAATGACCTCCTCTCACCCACGCAGGACCAGCCACAGTCGGCAGCCTCGAGCAAAAAGCCTCGGAATTTTATTGCCACAGTCGTAAGTCCTCCTTGACGCCTCCATTTGTCATTTTCACGTTCCCCATTTAACCCCGTACAATAGGCATGCGAAACATGCAGGCTCAAAAAGACCCGATGCGACGAATCCCGACCAAAATGTGGTCTGTGCAAGTCCCTCGGCTTAGAGTGCGTCTACAACGAACGCAAATCGTCCAAGTACGTAACTTCAGTAGCATATCAGTTATCAATTGCATGTTACTAACGTGTCGCAGACGAGACCACTCACTCAGCTTGATCATGAGCACTCTCCATCGAATGGAGACCAAACTAGAAAGTCTTCCGTCATCCATCTGTAATGATTTACAGTCACGGCAGAGGCCCATTCCTCGAACTATTGATAGCCCATTAGATACGAGCACCCCAGGCCGCAGCAGTCAGATTATCAACGTCCGACCGTCTGTTCCGAACCCCCTGGCACAAGGCCTTACTCCTGACGCTATAGAACACGACGATTTTGAGTTTGATGAGCATCAAAAGGTCACAAACTCGAACGGGCTAGTATCAATCTCCTTCAGCCAACATGGGGTGATTCTCTGGCCAGGGGCCCGGGATATTCTCCCCAAGAGATTACTCGAAGCCCATGAAAGGCTAGGGAAGAACTATGTTATCGACATGGAGGTCAAAAGGCCTCAGCTCCCAATGTACATTTGCCCATATCCTCCGCAGGCTGGTGATGACTGGCTAGAGGCACTTCCGCTGGCAATGATCAAAGGTCTCTCTGATGCATTTTTTGCCACATTCAATCCTTTCACCCCAATTATGGATAAGAATTTCTACTTTGCATTCACAATCTGGGCAGCAATTGAGAGCGGATTCGGCTACACAATAGAAAGCTGCCTGGTTTTAAACATTTTAGCATTGGGCTGTCATGCTGTTCAAGCTCATCAAGAAGGGAATTATCCGCTACCCGGCACACGGAGCAATCGTTTTGAGCCGCCAGACTGGATGGCAGTGATCCATGAGGAGCCGTTGGGCCTACGTTTCTTCAATGAGGCCCGTCGACGCATTGGCTTCTTGATGTGTGATAACGACCTTCAGAGCTGTCAATTCTATATGCTGTCATCGTACGTGACCCATTTTCTTTACCACCCCGGGTTATTGGCTAACTAGATACATAGGGTCTATTACAGCCAAATCCTCCGTCCGATGGATGCGTGGGCTATGATTCACCGCGCTGCTACGTGCTGTCTCCAAATGCTGACCAAGTGAGTCCATTGGGTTTATATCTTCACTCTGCGCTTTACTGACGAAAACCTCTAGCCACGACGTCAATTTCGATGAATGGGAGGGTGATATGAAATCCCGCGTATACTGGAACTGCTTAATGAACGAAACCATCCTCGTGCAAGAACTGCATCTGCCTCCCAGCGGCCTAGCCCGACTCGAGGAATTCGTGCCCATTCCAAAATTCATCAGCTTCGAAACCGTTGGCTTGGTACCCCCTCGATCCGCCTCACAAGAGCTAGACGACTCCTTCTTTCAATACCATTTCCTCGCGCAGGTCGCCCACCGCATCATCCTCACTCGCATCCGCCATTCATTGTACTTCTACTGTGAGCCACACACCACTCAGGCCCCGAGTCCATTATCAAAACTAACAGTGCACAACAGCCGACTCAGGGACCTTCCCTCTCCCAGCTATCAACGCAGAGCTCCACCACCAACTCGAGCAATGGCGTCTCAACCTCCCACCCGCCATCCAATTCCAAGATACCCATGCAGCCACCCCAGTAAACCCCAATAACGCCACCACAACCCCCATCACATCGCCGTCAACCCCCATCTCCCCCCTCCCTCTAGACCCTAACCGGCCGCTCTCCCCCGCAACTGCCGTCTCAGAAGCAATGCTCCGCGGCCGCTTCAAGATCGCCAAATTCCACATCGGCCGTCCATACCTCTACAAAGCCCTCCGCATCCCCGCCTCCCTCTCGGAAGACGATCTCGAGCAAGTCCGCAGCGGCCTCCAAAACGCCATGAACTGGCCCGTCGTCGGCGGCATCTTCCAGAACATGAAAAGCTGTATTCCGATCAAGTTTGCCTTTTGTTCCCAGTATGTTCCTTCCCTTCCCCCCCTCTCCAACTTTCTTCTTGGATCATCATCCAGTTGCGTCAAAGTAGACCAGCAAACCTGATTTGATGTAGGTTCTTCGGCCAGGTCCTCCTCTTCTATTGTATCTCGCATTCCCCGGATCCCCGTCTCCGCAGTACGCTGCCCCCGGACTGGGAGCGCTGGAGTCAGGAAATGCTGCAGTTCTTGGAAGATTGTGCGCCTTTTAGTCCTGCTGTTGCGAAGGATTTGGAGCTTTTGAGGCTTTTATGATGACTGCCGTCCTCTGTCCTTTTTATTCAGTCTTTTTTTTTTCCTCCTGGTGGTTTACTATCTTGGTTGTGGGAGGTTTGGGTGGTTGCTTGGTTGCTTGTCATGTAAACTATCGTCTGTTGTTTTCTTTCTACTTATATAGAGTATTGGGTAATGTTCAATGTCAATGTCTGGATTACGTACGTATAAGCGGACTTCTGGGTTGGGGTGGGATATATTCTAATAACTTGTAAGGCAGTGGTATAAACATAACGTATTCTTTCATACGGAAGTCGGTGGAATGACGCCCATCAAATCGGAAAGAGCAACACTCCAGGATATAACTCATGAATAAAACGATAACAGAGGTGGGAATTACATGGAAACATTGCTCTCACAATGCCCAATCGTCTGCAGCGTCATTGGCCGTTATGAATGGCTTATCGATATGTTTGAGCGCATGGTCTCCGCAGAGGATACTATCCCTGAGTTAGCTGCACATTGCTCGTCCTGTCTGGTGGGGGTAGGTATTTACCAAGCCTCTGCTATCAACCCATCTAGTTCTTTGACTATCTCCTCCCGTCGAGAGGAACTTATGTCACTGTTGTTTAGCTGCGCTTGCAGATCCCGTATATACTTCCTTTTGCCACCGGCCCCCTCGAGCACCTCCTTTCCCAAGCAGTCGCTATGGAAGGCGTGTTGACATGGGAAAACGAAGAATTGCCGACTCAGAACTGGTAGTGAACAAAGCCAACACTTTTCTCCGGGTTCCACGATGGCGTAGCGCATATCCAAAGCCGCAATTTCGGTTCGGATCTGTCGCGCTGTATGTGCTGAGTTATCCATTTCCTGGCGCAAGGCATCAATATGCCGAGAGTAATCTTCCAGAGCACTGCATATCTCATCCTTGAAATCATCGATGACAACAAAGTCTGGAAAGAACGGAATCAAGTCTTCGATGCGGAGGAGTTCGCATCGACGAAGGAACTCAATGGCATCTTTAATGCCGGTTCCAGGTTGTTGGATCTTCTTCTCGGCCACGAGGAGCCATAATTTCTTCCGAAGCTTATCATTCCCCTCCGGTCTGTCAGCAATGATAGCTGCTAGCTCAATATCTTCATGCTGCAGAGCCAGCTCTACTGCTTGGAGATACTGTCCCATAGCGCTGTAGATATGGATGCATGACTGAAAGCGCTGGTGTTGAATACAAAGACGAAGGGCAAAATCCGCATCATAAGGGGGTGGAGATGATGCTTGTGACTGAAGATAGGTTAAGAGCCCTGCTTCTGAGGAGGAGATACTCAAAGCATGGATTGATATGAGTGTGTTATGCACTGCGGGTGAGGGTTTTGGGTGGTTGACGATGATGAAATTGAGGTATCGGACAGCTTGGTTCTGGTTAAGCGGAACATTTGACATTTTATTGTAGTTCAACAGAGCAGGTATAAGTTTCTCGGGGTCAAGGTTCGTCTGCCGCATCAAGATATCAACCAAACCAGTAGCTGCATGGGTCATAAGCACACTGCTGTATTTGTAGAACACGTCAGGGTCACTTTGTCTCTGGAGAACATTCAGAGCCTCTGGCCATTTCTCGCGTTGGATCCAGTAAGAAAGCACATAATTGTGGTCGCTGACGGCTGTGGCGAAATATAGCAGCTCCTCTTCCCGACCGTGACTACTGATTATGCCATACACCGTCTTTTTATCGAGGTCCGACTTATACTTAGTGACGAACTCCTGAAACTCAGAACGGACACCACTGAGTTGGCCTTTGATATCTTCAGTGCTTGTTCCCTCCGTCACTTCCGCGCTGGTGGCGATGTTATCGTCCAAGGAGTTCAGCTTGGTCATGAACACCTCTACCAACCAGCTTGCAACCATTACCCGCTGCATTGACGACGATTTTTTGTAGGTTGATAATTGGCCAAGAAGGTACTTCCGCAAAGCGTCGTGCTCCCCGCCATTAATCAGAGTCAAACAGACCTCCTCAAACCCCTTGCTACTCTTACCCCAGACTTTGGCCGCCTCCTGATATCGGCCTTTGCTAGCAAGAAAGTCACCTGAAGCAGTGGAAACCACATCCTTTTGTGTGCTGGAGCGTGCGTAATGAAGGGCTTCATCAAACATTTGCTTCTGCAGAAACACCTTCCAGATATCTCTGTCCTCATCCTCGACTGCGATCTCGAAGATTTCTTGATTGGTGAATAACCAGTAGGTATGTTGTGTAGAGTCTGCCAAGAGACCCAGCGTACTCTGTGCCGGTTCCAGTACGGCCTGGTCATAAACAATCTCTTCGTTCATGCGGTTCACGGCAATAACCCTACCCTCGACGAGGGCTAGAATATGCCATTGCGAAAGCGTCATAGCAGTAATAGGATTCTGAATAAGCCTTTTACCTCCTCGTGCAGACTCAGTAGCTGGGAAAAATGACCGCGGAAGCATATTCGCTGTCTCAAATGGTTGGTTCACTTTCTCAGAAGAGTATGGAAGCTGGCCATGATATACACCTTGAGAGCTAAGCCACGCAAACTCCTTCGCATGGTTACCATCCGCAGCGTTTGGTGATATGGCCAGGGCTGAAGGTGCAGCGTTTGAAGCCTTTTGTGCCTCATACACTAAGGGTGTTTCTCGTTGGAAGAGATCGATGTATATGGAGCCTCCACCTTCTCTTCCATGTCTTCCTGTCCGCCCTAGGACATATATTAACTTGCTATGGGTCGCTATCAGCACGCGCCTCTGCTCCGACTGAGTTTGAACCAACTCCGCCCAAAGTCCTGTCACCGGCGAAGCCTCCGGCACTTTATAAACAGTGGTGACATATCTTTCCTCGCGGCGATAGAACTCGGTGGAGGGCTCGATATAAGCCTCATAGATATGGCCATCTGTAGTTCCTAGAAGTATCTCCCTGGTAGAAGCCGTCGGAAGCGATGGGTTCCAGGCAATACTCTCAATTGAAACTCCCTTCAACCGCGACAGTGGCTTGGGTTGCCTCGACTGGGTGTGGAGATAGTAGTTCTCACCAAGGGTGGTGGTAATTATCAAGTGGGATGCGGAAGGGTCCAGGAACATGCGACGAATAACTCCTATTTCCGAGGATTTCTTTGGAAGGTCGATATCTAGAAAGGTCGTATTAACATCGCAACGAGGCGGGGACTTGGAGATTCAGCGAGTCACAGGGCACAACATACCGTCTATATCTTCGGGAGCTTCCAGGTCAATTCTAAGAATACGATTGGTTGCGAGAGCCAGAATGAGTACATTGTTCGCAACTTGCGCAGCGACGAAATCCGCAGCGAGCGGGAACTGAAGCTGGACACGTCGGACATCGAAGAGTGCGGAGTCGGGGGTTTCAGTTAAGTTGCTGGGAGCAACATAACCGTTTGATGCATCCAGCGCCATGATGCGCTAATAGTGACAAAAGGCGCTATATCATAGCGGGTTCCCCGAGAAAGAGGGTCGAGCAGTTGCTAGAAGAGCTTGTGTCAAGCTGTTGACTGACAATTGATACCGATAGGGCGGGATGGGGAAGCTAGACAGCTGTTGATGCCTTGGCATGACTTTCGCTTGCCTGAGGCACACATCCTATTTTTGTTCTATCATAATGAAGCATTTCTTATAACTAGCACAACCAGTTACCTACTGTAGACCAGTCTACCACAGATAAGTTCAATGCACCGTACAACATACAGGCTCCTTGTTATACAGAATCCCACCCCTATCATCTATTTCTAATGTATTTGCTCGTAGTCTATACACAGTAACAACTCCCCCCTCCCCCCCGATTTGCGTAGCTGAGATAAATAATAAGACAAGTGGCTGGGTATCAAGTGCCTCTCTCTAGAAGTGTAGGGTCATGAAAAGCATTAATCATGGAACTGTCAAAGATGCATCGTTCACATTACAGAGCACTCCCGCTCCAGCTTTCGCCCAATCCTCTTCTCCTTGGACTTCCCTTTGTTTTTGGTGCTTTCCTTTCCGCGTGTAGGACTTTTCTCGTTGCTTTCACTGCTTACGGACATAGCCGACATAGCCCCCTCGCCTGGCGGCATATTCTCAACGGCAAATTCATCGTCCTCAGTCGAGAAGCCATCGCTGTTGACTTTATCCCTGCTGCGTCGACCGGTGAACCGTGAGAATGTAGCACTAATTCTGCTTTCGCTCGTTTGGCTCCCCGCACGACTGCCAGGTGCGCTTCTCCGGTTCCTCGAGGTATGCCGAGAAAATGAGAAGGAGTTCCTCCCTCTATCATCGTCTTTTGGGGCAAGTCTCGGTGACGTCGATGGAACCGTTCGTACCTGAAGTCCTCCAGAGGCATTCGACTCAACTGCGTCGGAGAAAGCCACACTATGTTTTCTGTCATTCTGCTCCAGAGGCAGGATTTCTGCATTATCCGGAGCGGTGATTTCAAAGCTTGGCCTGTTCGAGCGGAATCCCTCCGTACGGCAGCTTTCAGGAAGATCACTTCCCGAGGTGCTTAGTTTCTGGGATATTGCCGAAGGGTCTATTTCCTGAGCATCATCTGACATTTCAGAAGAAGGCGCCGTGTCTGGGAGATTGACCGCCGCAGCATCTTCATTGACCGGCAGGATTTGGTAAAACAGAAGATACGGCGACTCGTGCTTCAAGGCTCGTTCAATATCAACTAAAGTCACACGCTCCGCAGCCAAGTCATCAAATCGCATCCAATATTGGGGCGTATCTGAAAAAGCCGTCTCCGAGCTATGAGAACTGGTCGGGGGAGCACCAGCACTAGTGCCCCTGACAATAGCAATGTAATGCCCTGAGTCAACCGAGTTGCCTCTATGGCAAATCATTGCCTGCAAGGACAGCTTAAAATTCCCGTATATCGGACCCTCTTCATCCAAGTTATCATCTTGGATAAAATGAGGCAGTCCAATCTCGGTTGGTATATCAATGAAGGTATTAAGTCGGATGGCTTTACCATTTGGTAACATAGAATAACGCTTTAGGCACATTCCCAGTATTGGTCTTTTTGATGAAAAATGTGCTGCAACCTGTGC